CCTACATCAAGTAGGGGTAACCACCGAGGGGTCCCTGTTGGAGGAGTGCTACGGCCCTAGCCCCCTGCTGGGCATCCAGACAGAAGCAACTCACAGATCCCTTTGACAGAATACCCTTAACCAAGAAGGGGTGGACATGGCAAACCAAGTTGATGGACTATGCTGAAATGGCAAAAATAACTGGGAAGCTCAGAAAGCAAGACCATTGTAAGCAGGTTAAAACATTAGCAGGATTTTAACAACACTTGTAAATGAATGGAAAGTATGGACAATTTGGAAAGGCAAAATTTGGACAGTTTTGATATGCAGGTGTAATAATTACCACTAGAACCCATAGAAGGGATGGGGGGAAGTCAGGAGATTCAGCGTAATTTCGGCATTTGAATCTTGTATTGCTTTTTGTTGTATGTTTATTTATGTTTTAAAATTAAAAAAAATTTTTTTTTTAAAAACCATCATCATCAAACTGCTAGTTTGGCAGGAGCTGGGACAGAGCAATGAGAGCTTGCCACTGTCGCACAGATTTGAACCGCCAACCTTCCAACCAGCAAACCCAAGAAGCTCAGTAGATCACAGTGCCACCCATGTCCCTAGAGCTATGTGTTATCTGCATACTATTATAGTAATAATAATAATAATAATAATAATAATAATAATAATTTATTATTTGTACCCCGCCCTCAGAGCTGGACCTCAGTGTGGAGGTGGAGACGCTCCTTCAGGTATACTGGGCCGAGGCCATTTAGGGCTTTAAAGGTCAACACCAATACTTTGAATTGTGCTCGGAAACGTACTGGAAGCCAATGTAGGTCTTTCAAGACCGGTGTTATGTGGTCTCGGCAGCCGCTCCCAGTCACCAGTCTAGCTCCCGCATTCTGGATTAGTTGTAGTTTCTGGGTCACCTTCAACGGTAGCCCCACGTACAGCACAGTGCAGTAGTCCAAACAAGAGATCACCAGAGCATGCACCACTCTGTGGACACAGTCCGCGGGCAGGTAGGGTCTCAGCCTGCGTACCAGATGCAGCTGGTAGACACTGCCCTGGACACAGAATAAACCTGCACCTCCATGGACAGCTGTGAGTCCAAAATGACTCCCAGGCTGCGCACCTGGTCCTTCAGGGGCACAGTTACCCCATTCAGGACCAGGGAGTCCTCCACACCAGCCCACCACCTGTCCCCCAAGAACAGTACGTCTATCTTGTCAGCATTCAACTTCAATCCATTAGCTGCCATCCATCCTCCAACTGCCTGGTGGCCCCTTGCTCCAAAACTCCTCAGGACCACACCCCATGAATTCATATAGATTTTAAAGAGCGTATAGATCTTAAATAGTGCTGGGGAGAGAATAATACCTTGCAGCACCCCATAGCACAAATGCTGGGGTGGGGGTGAGGAGCAGTCATCGAGCGCTACTTTCTGGACATGACATTGAAGATATAAACAGAACCACTGTAATATGGTGCCTCTGACACCCATCTCACTAAGTCAGTTCAGGAAGATTCCATGATTGACGGCATCAAAAAAGGCAACCCAAATGATCACAACATGTCAGGGAATAGTCTAAAGATGAGGACTGGGGAATGCATTCTATGGCAGACCAGCTTCCCTCCAATGGAGAGATGGAGGGGAAAAGTCACCCCCCACCTTGTCCATGTCAGTTTCTACTTGTTGCCACTGTGCAGTGCTTGGAGTCACAAGACTCTGTGTTGCATTCCAGAGATTCCATACTGTTGGAGGTCTCACGGAAGATGGGAGACGGATGTGATGTTTACTGGTTTCCTGTTCCTTTGTTGTTCAGTTGCTCTCTGCTTTCACAGAGAGAGCATGTATATTTCTTTTCTGTCTGCATAGTTAGAAATAAAACGCTCTTTGCAATGTAGCTCATACTATCTCGGCTCCTTCCCTGCATGCTGGATACTCTGCGTAATGGGGGAACGTGCTTGGAGCCTCATCAAAGGCTCAGGTCGTTAATCACAGACTCGACCAAAAGAGTCGCTCAGTCACATACTTGGACTGAACATAAGAGAGAGCAAAGAAGTCAGAGGGAGGGAGGAACTTCCCATTGGCACCTAAAATGCTACGGAAGTCGGAAGGAGGATTTAGAGCAGCCAACTGACCTCCTTGCAGAGAGCTGTGTATTTCTGCTTGCAACATGATGCTGTAATAAAAGGACTATAAATAGATCAACTGCTTGTTAATTCTTATCTGTGATGTTACCAAAGGGAGAGGAGAACTCTCCACGCCTGACACAACATCACTCTTCCCCCTTCCCCTTTCCTTTCCTGAAAACTCAAGGGATTTGCCCAAAGTTCTCCTCTGAGTCCACTAAAATGGACCCCATCTTTGAGAGGAACGTGAGGTGACATCCTGCTTCTGATTCAGTCAATGAATCAGTCAACCAACCAATAATGCTCTCCACCTGATTCAAGGCTTCTCCAGACACCCTGCTGATTCAGCATTCATCCTGATTTACTTGATTATGTGGTGCTCTTTAACAACAACAACAATAATAATAATAATAAATTTTATTTATACCCTGCCCTCCCCAGCCAAAGCTGGGCTCAGGGCAGCTAACAAGCAATAATAAAAACAACTTGAATGAATACAACTTAAAAACAAAAATAAAATACAACACTAAAACGTTAAAATGCAGCCTCATCACAGGAGGAGAAAAGAAAAAGAAAGAGGGGGAGGGAATCAAATTGACTCAAAGCCAAAGGCCAGGCAGAACAACTCTGTCTTACACGCCCTGCGGAAAGAAATCAGATCCTGCAGGGCCCTGGTCTCATGAGACAGAGCGTTCCACCAGGCCGGAGCCAGTGTTGAAAAAGCCCTGGCTCTGGTTGAGGCTAATCTAACTTCCTTAGGGCCCGGGACCTCTAGAGTGTTGCTATTTATGGACCTTAAGGTCCTCATTGGGCCATACCGGGAGAGGCGGTCCCATTGGTATGAGGGTCCTAGGCCGTGAAGGGCTTTAAAGGTCAAAACCAGCACCTTAAATCTGACCCTGTACTACACCGGGAGCCAGTGCAGCTGGAAAAGCACTGGGTGAATATGCTCCCATGGCAGAGACCCCGTGAGTAGCCTCACTGAAGCATTTACCACTGGTGGAATTTCTGGAACAGGTTCAAGGGTAGCCCTGCGTAGAGCGAATTACAGTAGTCAATCCTGGAAGTGGCCGTTGCATGGATCACTGTGGCCAGGTTGGGGCGGTAAAGGTAAGGGAATCAACTGCTTGAATCCCTCCTGCAAAATATTGACTGTCTGGAGGCACACTCTGATTTCATAGGTTCCAGGTGCCCCCATATGCCAGGACCATGAACTTAGGTGCTTCTCAGTTGAAGGTGCAGCAGCAGCTGATGCTGAAGTCCTGACTGAACATGAGTATGCTGTGTTTGAGAATGTTACGATTGGGCTAAGTGGAATTTAAAAATCCAAACCTGCAAGGCGGTAAATAATGCAGCTGACTGTAAACACAGCTGAAACGCAATCTCATGAAATGTTCATGATGGTGAAAGTTGTGGTCACAGTTTCACTATGGTGTCAGTCCACCGCCAGTGAGGCTGATGGGCCTTTGCTCTCTCCTACAGGCCGCTAATGGAAGGTAGTTAAGCATCTCAGGGTGGACTCGTTTTATTTTCTGTGCTGGAAACAGCTGAGAGTTTAGATGCAGAAAGAATTAGAAATGTTGTTTTCATTCAATGTAGGGCACTTTTTCATTCCAGTGGCTATCGTGGGAAATTCTGGAATGTCCTGTCCTTCCTGGCTGCCATTCGTGAAATCAATCAGGACCCCAGGCTCTTACCCAACGTCACCCTAGGCTATGTCATCTATGACCATTACTCTAATGCAAGGATGACTTCTGATGCCCTGCTAGACCTGCTCTCTACTGGGCACGCAGACATTCCAAACTATGACTGTGGGAAGAGGAATAACCTGTTGGCTGTTCTTGAAGATGCTGAAGCTGATATTTCTAGACATATGTCACCTGTGTCAAGCATCTACAAAATCCCACAGGTATGGCTGGTTTGGTGTTAAGATGGAATTGTGCCTCTGCCATGGGCTTTTCATTCTTTCCTTTTTGGACTCTCCCAAAGGTGAGGGTGGGATGGAACCTGGAAGCAGGAGCACTCAACACTGGTGTCAAATGCCCTATGCCACCCCACCACTGCTTTTAAAAACCACGTTCCTTGTTTACAATGCATTCAAAACACAGTTTTTTGAGTAACGTAGCTGAGTCCCTAGTCTAATATTCTGGGATGTGATTCAGTCCCACAAAATATTGAGAGTCTGGAGGCATTCTGGAAGACCTCCTCCCGTTCTACACGGTCAGCATTTTGTCTTGTTCTTTGTGTGCATGTGTTGGGGACTGTAGTTGGTCAACTGTCTGAGATTTGTCCTGGAACCACAGCAAAGCACTCACTTCTCCCTTTGCATCCTGGGCAAGTTATGGATACACTGTTCCGACTCTTCATAATAAAACCCAGTTCCCCTTTTTCTACCAGTCGGCCACAAAAGTAGATCCCAAGAATCTGGGGATTGTCCAACTGCTCCTGAACTTCAGATGGATGTGGATTCCCATATTGCGTGGGAAAATCCTTAAAACAATAACAATAATTTATTTATACCCCGTCCGTCTGGCTGAGTTTCTCCAACCACTCTGGGTGGCTTCCAGCAAAATATTAAAATACAATAATTCATCACATATTAAAAGCTTCCCTAAACAGGGCTCCCTTGAGATGTCTTCTCAAAGTCAGATAGTTGTTTATTTCTTTGTCATCTGGTAGGAGGGCATTCCACAGGGTGGGTGCCACTACCAAGAAGGCCCTGTAATTTCACTTCCCGCAGTGAGGGAACCAGCAGAAGACCCTGGGAGTTGGACCTCAATGTCCAGACAGAAGGATGGGGGTGGAGACACTCCCTCAGGTACACTGGGCCGAGGCTGTTAAGGAATTTAAAGGTGAGCACCAACACTTTGAATTGTGTCCAGAAACGGGGAGCCAATGTAGTTCTTTCAGGACCGGTGTTATGTGGTCTCGGCAGCTACTCCCAGTCACCAGTCTAGCTATCACATTCTGGATTAGTTGTAGTTTCCAGGTCACCTTCTTCCTTTGCTTCCTGGGCAAGTTATGGATACACTGTGGCCGCGAGCTGGTAGCTCGAAAGCAAACCATAATGGGAATGTTGGGACTGTTCCGTGGGAAACAGAGGGACAGTCAATTCACAGTGCAGAGGGCACCGGAATTAGCTCAGAGTGTAATATGAGCTGTACAGGAAGTACAGGAGGAGTTTGTCTCTCGACTGCTGGAGCTTTAAGAGAGCAGTCATGTTTTCTGTACCGCTGCAAAGACAGAAATAAGGGCATGTAAATACATTTCTGTCTATCTCTTTCCCCTGCCTGGGGGGGCAGGAAAGAGGGGGGGTGTTCTTCTCACTCTGAGAAGGATCGCCTATCGCGACCTCTGCCTGGATCCTGCTGGGGAATGCAGACAGGGAGGTCAACAGGAGATCAAGCCGGGTGCCTGGAGAGTGGCCAGTTTCTCCTGATAAAGGCTTGATTCCCAACATGTTCCTACTCTTCAAGATAAATCCCAGTTCCCCTTTTTTCTACCTGATGGCCCCAAATGTAGATCCCCAGAATCTGGGGATTGTCCAACTGCTCCTGAACTTCAGATGGATGTGGATTCCCATATTGCGTGGGAAAGACCTTAAAACAATAACAATAACAATGATTTATTTATACCCCGTCCATCTGGCTGGTTTTCTCCAACCACGCTGGGTGGCTTCCAGCAAAATATTAAAATACAATAATTCAACACATATTAAAAGCTTCCCAAACAGGGCTCCCTTTAGATGTCTTCTCAAAGTCAGATGTTTATTTCTTTGAAATCTGGTAGGAGGATATTCCACAGGGTGGGTGCCACTACCAAGAAGGCCCTGTAACTTCACTTCCCGCAGTGAGGGAGCCAGCAGAAGACCCTGGACACCTCAGTGTCCAGACAGAAGGATGGGGGTGGAGACACTCCTTCAAGTATACTGGGCCAAGGCTGTTAAGGGCTTTAAAGGTGAGCACCAACACTTTGAATTGTGTCCAGAAACGTACTGGGAGCCAATGTAGGTCTTTCAGAACCGGTGTTATGTGGTCTCGGCAGCTACTCCCAGTCACCAGTCTAGCTACCACATTCTGGATTAGTTGTAGTTTCCAGGTCACCTTCAAATGTAACCCCACATAGAATGCGTTGCAGTAGTCCAAGCGAGTCCTCAACACCAGCCCGCCCCCTGTCACCCCAGAACAGCACTTCTGTCTTGTCAGGATTCAACCTCAATCAGTCACCTGCCATCCATCCTTCAACCGCCTCCAGACACACACACAGGACCTTCAGCGCTTTCACTGATTCCGATTTAAAAGAGAGTTAGAGCAGGATATCATCCGCATACTGATGAACACCCAGCCCAAACCCTCTGGTGATCTCTCCCAGCAGCTTCATGTAGATGTTAAAAAGAATGGGGGAGAGGATGGAACCCTGAGGCACCCCACAAGTGAGAGCCCAGGGGTCTGAACAATGATCCCCCCCACCACTTTCTGAACACGGCCCAGGAGGAAGGAGTGGAACCACTGTATAACCCTCAGCTCCTAGCTCCTCTAGACGGTCAAGAAGGATGTCGTGGTCGATGGTATCAAAGGCCACTGAGAGCTCCGGCAGAAGCAGGAAACAGCTTTCACCTTTGTCCTTAGTGCGCTGGAGATCATGGACCAGCACAACCAAGACAGTTTCAGTCCCAATATGAGGCCTGATTCCCGATTGGAAGGGATCCAAATGGTCCCCATCCTCCAGGCATGCCTGGAGTTCTTCAGCAACCACCTGCTCAATCACATGAATTTCTTCATGGGAAGCTAGACTCCTCTTGGAAGAGAAGCTGTTTCCACATTTCTATTACGCTTCATGCCCTGTACAGTGGGACCTCAGGTTACAGACGCTTCAGGTTACAGACTCCGCTAACCCAGAAATAGTACCTGGGGTTAAGAACTTTGCTTCAGGGTGAGAACAGAAATTGCGAGGGAGCAGGGTGGCAGCAGCGGGAGGCCCCATTAGCTAAAGTGGTGCTTCAGGTTAAGAAGAGTTTCAGGTTGGAATTGACCAAGAAAGATGTTAATCTATTTTTGTATGCCACAACTGCGGCTTGTATTTTGTTAGCTAAAAAGTGGAAAACTCAAGAATTACCAACAGTAGAAGAATGGCAGATGAAGATGATGGATTTTATGGAGCTAGCCGTCCGTGACCAGAAGGAGGAGGAACACGAAGAATGGAAGAAATTTAATGATTATTTAGCTAAATTTGTTAAGATAAAATAACCGGAAATAGCGTCCAGATACTTAATGGGCTTAGGATTGTATTTATGTTAACTGATAAAATAATATGTTTAATACAAGAAGGAGAAGATTTAAAGATGTTAATGTTTAATTTAAAGGGTATTAAAATTGGGATTTGGAAAACCGTTATAAGGATATGCAATGAAATTCAACTAAGGGGAAACGAGGAAGTCGTTTTACAAAGTAAATAAGTGTTATTTTCAATAAGGTTATGATTTATGTTTGTTATGTTTTGTTTGTTTTATGTTTTTGTTTGTCGTTGATATTGTAAAAACTAATAAAATTTTTGAAAGAAAAAAAAAGTTTCAGGTTAAGAATCGACCTCCAGAACTAATTAAGTTCTTAACCTAAGGTACCACTGTATGAGTTCTTTGATGGCGGGTGAGACCTGCCCTCTTTCTGAAGCTCTGCCCACATTCCAAGCACTGGTAGGGTTTCACCCCTGTATGAATTCTTTGATGGGAAGCGAGACTGCTCCTCTGACTGAAGTGCTTTCCACATTCCAAACAGTGATAGGGTTTCTCCCCTGTATGAATTCTTTGGTGGGAAGCGAGACTGTCCTTCCAACTGAAGCTCTTTCCACATTCCAAGCACTGATAGGGTTTCTCCCCTGTATGAATTCTGTGATGGGAAGTGAGAGCCCCACTCACACGAAAACTCTTTCCACATTCCAAGCATTGATAGGGTTTCTCCCCTGTATGGATTCTTTGATGGGAAGCGAGATTGTGGCTGTCACTGAAGTTCTTTCCACATTCTAAGCACTGATGGGGTTTCACCCCTGTATGAATTATTTGATGGGAAGTGAGACTCCGCCTGTGACTGAAGCTCTTTCCACATTCCAAGCACTGATAGGGTTTCAGCCCTGTATGAATTATTTGATGGGAAGCGAGACTACTGCTCTGACTGAAGTTCTTTCCACATTCTAAACACTGATAGGGTTTCACACCTGTACAAATTATTTGATGGGAAATGAGATGGGTTCTCTGACTGAAGCTATTTCCACATTCCAAGCACTGGTAGGGTTTCACCCCTGTATGAATTCTTTGATGGGAAACGAGACTTCTCCTCTGACTGAAGTGCTTTCCACATTCCAAGCAGTGATAGGGTTTCTCCCCTATATGAATTCTTTGGTGGGAAGTGAGACTGTCCTTCCGACTGAAGCTCTTCCCACATTCCACCCACTGATAGGGTTTCTCTCCAGTATGAATTCTTTGGTGGGAAGTGAGAAGCCCACTCTGACAAAAGCTCTTTCCACATTCCAAGCACTGATAGGGTTTCTCCCCTGTATGAATTATTTGATGGGACATGAGATGGATGCTCTGACTGAAGCTCTTTCCACATTCAAAGCACTGATAGGGTTTCTCTCCTGTATGAATTCTTTGGTGGGAAGTGAGATTGTTGCTGTGACTGAAGCTCTTTCCACATTCAAAGCACTGATAGGGTTTCTCTCCTGTATGAATTCTTTTGTGGGAAGTGAGAGCCCCACTCTGACGAAACCTCTTTCCACATTCCAAGCACTGATAGGGTTTCTCTCCAGTATGAATTCTTTGATGCGAAGTGAGATTGTCCTTCCGACTGAAGCTCTTCCCACATTCTGAGCACTGATAGCCTTTCTTCCCACTGTGAGTTCTTTGGTGGGAACGGGAACTCTGACTGGAGCTCTCTCCACACTCCCAATTTTGATTTGGCTTCTCCACTGTGTGGATTTTGTCATGGTCTCCCCCATTCTTCATTTCCAATTCATCACCACCTACAACAAAGACAGAAACTAATTAGATCTTCAGGAAGAAACGGAGCCCCCAATTATTGAATAATGCTAATGAAAATTTGTCAAAGAGGAAGAACAGAAGATGTGAGGTCTTTCTACAGAGGTCATGGCCTTTGTCGACCAGCATTTGTCGACCTCTTTTCTAGGACGGATTTTTGTTGCCACAATCATGAAATCCACTCCAACTCTAACATTGGTCTTCTCTTTAAAAAACGGGCAGATTGGACTTCCGGTTTGGATCGCAAGCAGCAGGGAGCGTAGAGAAGTCACGGAAGGGCCTCTCCGAGCTACACGGGGGCTTGGGGGCAACGCAAAGGCACTGCGACCCCCAAAATCTCAAGGGGGGTTCCCTTGAGGGATAAACTATCCAGCAGCGTTGGAGTGGTTCCGACGTTTTTCGGGGTTTTTTTAAAGGACCCGGGAGCGACGGGACTGAGAAACGCGAATGGTAAGCTCTGCGGACCCCGTGTTGCGATGCCTCTAGCTTCCACTGGAAAAGCGACAAACCTCCATAACTTTAAGAACAGAACCCTTAGTGTTTTTGGAACAATTCTTGGCTAATTTTCTGGATTATACACTAAGTGAGCTCTGGATGTAAAAGGATTTAAATGAGGAGCCCGACCTGATTTTCGGAGTTAATATGGCGCAGGATACAAAGTCGTAAGAGTGAAGAAAGGAAGTGACCATTCACCCGCTGTAGAAACAGAAAAGTGAAAGTCCTCAGCAGCTATTAAGTGAGGCAAAGGAAACTAAATAAAATAAAAGTAACGGAAAGGACCTTTAGAAACTTTGTATTTCTCTTTTTGGGGAGAACACTAAAGAATAAGAGAAAGAGTTGAACAGAGTGGTTACAAAGAGAGAAATATGCTGAAGCCTGAAACTTTAACACGGATTTACAAAGGAAAATGAGGGGGAGAAGAGGTAAAATGGAATAAAACGCAAAGGTTTTAAAATAATAACCCCCACTCATTACTCCCCCTGTTTCAAATTCTGAACTTTCTATATTACAGTTTGGGCAATTGAATAAGCAAATGCTTTAGGAAAAAATCTTCTTTTTTCTCTTCTTCAAATCTCAATTTTGGACTCTAACCTCTCCCATTTTAAGAACTTGTTTTTTTGATTTCTTCTCTACTTCTTTTTTCTAAGCTGTTTGAGAGTTCACACGAATTGAGCTTATAGGGTTTCATACATATTTTTATTAGGACATTTATCTTCTCTCTTTTGAGCGGTTGGATTAAATTTTGAATACCCCAGACTCTCAAAGGCCTGGAATTTTCTGGAACTGAATTATATATGAACTGAGTCATAGAGGGTGTGCTTAAGATTACTGAGGTATATACCCTTCTTTATCGGACGGACTAGATTTAATTTTGGACCCCTGGATTTCTTATCAATACAACCCTATATTGGATTAAGCCAGCAAGTGGCTGAAAAACTTAGAATTTAGAACTGAAAATAAACAATTAAAGCTAAGACTCTCCCTTTCTCTCTTTTCTTTTTTGGAAGCCTAAATTGTTTGGAAACCATCAGATTGGACATCAGAGACCGTGATTAGAGACCATGCTCATTTTTCATTATTATCTTCATCGGCATTATCTCTCACGGATTATTTTGGATTATTTTGGGGGTTTGGAGATTGCTGCCTGTTTCTGGACATAGAAGGGATTCTACTCAGATAGATCTCTAACTACTGTCTACCCTCCCTTGAACTGGATTAAGCTAACCAAGTGGCTGAAGATCGAACAAAAAGAAAGAATAGAGTACCCTTATTTAAAACAAAAGTAGGATACACGCTAAACCCATGATTTCTTGAATGGCTATTTCATATAAAGGCTCTACTGCAAGATTAACACTTCATTAACGGCCTTATTATAAGGCCTTTATTTTTACATGACTAACAAACTCTTAACAAAATCATTATTGAATTAATTCGAACTAACGTGTGTTAAATGTGAATTTATTTTGGACTTTATTTACATTTAGAGTGTGCAGACTGTAAGTGCATTAATTGGGAACTTGATTTGGGAAAGTAATTGGTATCTGGGATTTTAGATTTCGATTGGGAAAACTTACAAATATAAACAATACTTTAGTGTATCAATAGGAACCTGAGAATAATCCGATTTGTTAAACTTATTGAACCATTCCATATCTTTATTTTTGATACCAATTGGTGAAAAATTTGGAATAAGACTGCTCAAGAAGAAGCTGTTGAATTTATTGTTTGATAATTAATTAAGTTTCATCAAGATTGTGCACCCCCTAGAGGAGAGTATAAATATTATAAGAGACTTAAAGAGGGGGGAATGGAGAAGGAGAAAATGTCTGGAAAAAACGGGGGAAAAATAGGAGGAACACCATCAGATAGGAAAGCATCCCGACAAGAAATTAAGGATTTAGATATTTTATGGCTAAAAATAAAGGAGGAATTCAAACAGAGTGAAATTCATATGGAAAAAAGCTAGGAGAGATGCACGAGTTGATAGACAAGAAAATAGAGGGAGCAGTAGGAGAATTGTCAAGTAAAATTAAAGACTTAACAGTTCGATCAAAGATTATGGAAGAATCAAATAAAAAAATACAAAAAGAAATGAAAGAACAAAGGAAGGAGACAGATAGGATAAAAGAGGAACTAGGAGAACTGAACAGAAATCAAGATCAAGTTTTGGATAATTTAGCGATGATAGAAATGAAACAGAAACAGTTAAAGTTTAGAGGAGTGAGAGAAGAAACAAATGAGAATATCGAAGAAAAAATGACCAAAGAACTAGCGAAATGGTTAGAATTGAAAGAAGTAGCATACACTATAGAAAACGCTTTTAGAATAAAAATAAGGTCCAAACAAGTAAAATCAAAAAAGGTCCCAGGAGACTGTTTAGTCATATTCAACTCGATAGAGATGAAAAATACAATAGTAAGAGTAAGTTACCAAAAGAAATTAATAATTGAAGGAAGACCAATTATCATCTTAAAAGAAATACCAACCAGACTCCTACGCAAAAGAGAAGGATACAAACAGCTAGTAAGTGTTCTAAAAAAGAACGGCATACAACACAGATGGGAGTTCCCGGAAGGGATCTCCTTTTTTTATAAAGATAAAAGATTTAAGATCACTGAGATCCAAGAAGTGAACAAATTTCTACGTAGATATGAGAAAGATCTCGGAAAAGTAGAGGATATGGAGGAAGAAACGGAGACCTAGAGGAGAGAAGAAGAAGAGAGAAAGGAAAAGAACAGGAGGATAAAGGAAAGAGAGAAGAAGTAGAGGAAGAAGAAGAGGAAGAGGGAGTAGCGGAAGAAGAGGAAGAAGAAGAGGAGGAGGATACAGAAAACAAAACCACTCGAATTTAAAGTATTAGTTGTTTGTAGATTGGAGAGTAAATATAACAATGAATTTGAAAATTTTGTCATGGAACGTGAACGGTGTGAATGAAAAAACCAAAAGGAATAAAATTGTGTATGCCCTGAAAAGAAAGAATCTTGCTTTAATGAGCAGATAATTGCAGTCTCCGGCAGCCTTGGAAGCAGCCTTCGACTTACTGGTTTTCCGCCAGCTCACATCCAGTTGTATTTCTACTTCTACTACCTTTTATTATCTTTTAAGCACTGCTATTTTAAAAGACTCATAACGATGGGCCAAGGCAAACGCCTAAGGGATTGTGACGAGGCTCTGCCCCCCCCAGAGCCAAACAATTAAAAATCGACCCCCCCGTGTCTGACAATCGGAGTGACCCTATTGAACTCTGCTATAGGGTGAAAACTCAGAACCGTTTCTACCCTCTAATGTCTCCAGAAACAACGTCAACACCAGAGGAATTATTTTCCCCAGACTAAAACTGTGGACGGCAAGCTTGGAGGAAGAGGGAGTGTCCCATTGAGGGTGGTGCAGGACGCTGGAACTGAGGACTGCGCAAGACAAGAACAACATGAACATCTCCATCTTGTGGTCAGAACCCTTAATTGCATATTCAAGAAGATTGATGTGCTAGCCTCCCAGTTATGTAACTTCGAACAGAAAATGGATAACTTCTGGTCAAAGTTTAAACCAACCGTAGATACAGGGGAATTGAAGTGCCAGAGGTCCTTGCCTTCTACCAAAAAAAGAAGTGTGATCCTAAATATAAACCAAATCCTGCACTGAAACATCAAGCATTGTCCCTGCAACCTAAGAAAATCTGCCTAAACATCGGGGCAGGGTCACCAAGGTGGCTTACTCTGAGTGGGGTTAAAAGCACCTAAGCAATCTCCTAAACATAGAAATCTCACAATGTGATCTCATTGCAGTATTACCTTTGAACCAGCACCTCGGGCAACAGAAAGTGATGCTTGCGTTTACTCTCCAAGGATCCCTTCAGCTATCATCAGGCAGAAACCACTCTTGGCAAGGTACGATATCATCCCAACAAGAGTTTTTATGGATAGCATGATCCACCCCCTCCTACTTGCTGGTCACGGTGCGGAGTGGACTCTGTCGGAGAGGTCGGGAGTACCTCGGGACATCGAGCCTCCTCTCCTGGAGGATATCCATCCGCACCGAAACTGGACTCACCCTTCGTCCCCACGAGCTCTAAAGAAACCCACTGGCGCAAGTAATTCTCTGACCCCGCCGGAGGAAAGAGAGCTTTTAGCCACCTTTGGCGACCTTCCACCGAGAGAACAACAAGAAATAATTGATAGACTAGAAGTACTTAATCATCAGCTCATACATGTCCTGAAGAGCGGAAAAGTCCTGCCCACTTTTCAGGATAACTCTGCCAGCTTTTCGGAGTCGTGGTTTAAGGAAGCAGGAAGTCTTCCATACCTTAGTCCAGCTCCTAAACCCATGCCTCCCCACTTGTGGGCAAAACCCACCGACGCTTGGCAGAACCAGGTGGTGCCTCTCAAGCTGGCCCCTCATCCCAACTCTTGATAAATTTTGACTCGCCCTCCAAGAGTCCCCCGCTGAGAGTGTAACTCAGAGTTCCTTCCACCAAAACAACTCCTTACCATCTAATCCATCAATGCCGGAACTGGAGTCCTCATACTCCCCTGAGCAGCATAGACCCGACATACAAACGGTACCAGTACGCCGAACATCCCCTGTACCTTTGCCAGCATTCGGTCAGGGAGTGTCCCACCTACATCAAAAAATGGCCCGGATTTGATTGAAGACCCGACCGGACATATAAACCAAATGGTTTCATCGGCGATCTTTAGACCTTGCGGTGGGGCAGTCTCAGCAAATCCTGTGGAGTTTCCACTGAAGTGTCCGCCCTTGGGATAGCCAGCGGAGACCCGTTTTGTCGCCCCAGTCAGAATACCTCACTACCAACTTCAAGACTAGGTACCTTCAGCAGGTGCCTGCTATGCAAAGTAAAATAACTGACTTTTTCGTGGGGTCTGCCTTGCCTCCAAGGACTCCATCCCTCCCGAAATGACAACGAATGGTTACAACAGGAACTCCCCTATCAGTCCTCAGTTGGAACATTGCGGGCTGGAGGGGAAAAACTTGACCCAGAATTCCTGGAGTATATAAATACAAATAACAAAATACTACAAACACAGTATTCAATGCTAATAAGTCAAGAAATTGAATGGAAAATTAAGTTAATGAAACAGAAATATTTCAATCAGCTAACGAAACAGGTAAATTACTAGCTAGCAATTGCGAAGAAGGCAAAAACAAAATGTGATAAATAAGATAAAAATGGAAGAGCAACTAATAGAAGACCCAAAAGAAATACAGGAAAATTTCCTCAAATTTTATGAGAAATTGTACAAAAAGGAAGAGGAAGAAATAATCCGAATAGAAAAATACTTAGAAGACTGTAGCGGAAAGACTATAACAGAGGAAGAAAGAGCCCAATTAAATAAACCCATAAAAGTAGAAGAGGTCCAAGATGCGATAAGAAAGATGAAATTAGGGAAAGCCCCGGGACCAGATGGACTGTCAGCTAAATATTATAAAGTATTAGAAAATCAATTAACCCCAGTGTTATGTGACATCATGAATAATATACTGAGAGGAGGAAAGGTACCAGAGACATGGAAAGAGGCCCACATCACGATGATCCCTAAACCTGATACGGACAAACTTAATATTAAAAACTACAGGGCCATATCATTATTAAATAATGATTACAAAATCTTCGCAGAGGTAATGGCAAGTAGACTCAAGAGATGTCTAGTAAATCTTATTCATAAGGATCAAGCAGGATTCCTTCCAAATAGGTTACTCAAAGACAATGTAAGGCATACCATAAATATCATTGAATACTTGGAGTGCAAGAATGAAGTACCTGCGGCGCTAATTTTCATCGATGCGGAGAAGGCATTTGACAATGTTTCATGGTCGTTCCTACTAAAAAGCATGGAGAAAGCAGGGCTAGAGGGTGAATTTATGGAAGGAATAAAAGCAATTTATTCGAATCAATCTGTCAAATTGATTATAAACAACAATTTAACTCTTTCGAAATTTATATGGCAAGGGAAAAGACCGAGAATTAGATTTAAATTACTTACAGATTGAAAAGAAAGAGGGGGATTCTCAGTGCCAAATCTGAAATTATACTTCGAGGCCTCCTGCCTTTGCTGGATCAAAGATTGGATCAATTTGGAAAATACTGATCTGTTAGACCTAGAGGGTTTCAACAATAGGTTCGGTTGGCATGCCTACTTGTGGCTAAATAAAGAAAAGGTACATAAAGGGTTTTCAAGTCATATTATTAGAGGGCCACTATATGAAGTTTGGGAGAAAAACAAAAACTTTTAGAATGGAAGACACCCTGGTGGTTATCACCAATTGACATTCTAACAACCAAAAAGCAAATATGGAAGGAGAAAGATTGACCTACGAAGACCTACTGATAAGATCAGAAAGTGGCTGGAAATTGAGAACATATGAAGAGTTGAAAGATAAATTAACAGGCTGGCTGCAGTATCATCAAATAAATGCAATATGGATGGAAGACAAAAAAGTAGGGATAAGTGAGAAAAAATCCAAATTTCAGATAGAAATAATAGAAGGCAAAACCAAGTTATTATCCAAAATGTGTGATATATTATTGGAATGGGATACTAAAGATGAAGAAATAAAGGCGGTTATGACAAAATGGGCAATGGACTTGGGATACAATATAGAATATGAAAAGTGGTCGAAATTATGGAGTTGCGGGATGAAATTTACGGCATGCGTCATACTTAGAGAAAATTTAGAAAAGATGATGTATAGGTGGTACATCACACCAGCAAAATTAGGAAAAATGTACAAAACAGGAAATAAGGCCTGCTGGAAGTGTAAAATCAAAGAAGGTAATTTCTACCATATGTGGTGGACCTGTGAGGAAATGAAGAAATTTTGGGACCTGATTTATAATGAGTTAAAAAAAATACTTAAATATACCTTCCCTAAAAGACCAGAGGCCTTCCTACTAGGAATAATTGGGGATGAAATTAAAAAAGAGGATAAAATACTATTCCAATATTCGACAGTAGCGGCTAGAATATTAATTGCACAGAATTGGAAAAGCTCAAATACCCCAACGGTCAGAGATTGGCAAACAAAATTATTTGAATATGTTGAACTAGCAAAAATGACGCAAAAAATTAGAAACCAAAAAAATACAAAGTTTATTAGTGATTGGAATAAATTTATGGTATATATTGAAGGAAATTACAAAAACTTAAAAACTACTGCAGGTTTGATATAAATCTTATGATGCGCAAACCATTAATAACTCTTAGCTGCAGGAAAAAGAAAGAATTTGTATTAAGAAGCCCGAAATCGGGAGGGAAGGAGTTCAATAGGTGTGTAGAGGAAAGATCTAAATATTTAAAGATATAAAGATTCAAGGAATAAGACAAGGAACTGTAATGGAAATTGACGTTATTTTTGTGTTATGTATGGATATTTTTTATTTTTTCTTCTTTTTTCTGTAACTGTTGTTTTGTTTTTCCTTTTGGTTATTTAAGTGAAATTCAATAAAAAGAAATTAAAAAAAACAAAAACGGGCAGAGGCTAAAACAGAAACCCAAACCTGACAGAAATTACCTCAACTTCCCTAACAACTCTGTGTGTGAATGTTGCCTCCAAGTTGCTATGGAAAGGGTGACTGTCACTCCAGAAGGCCGTTTTTTCAGTTAGGTCTGTTCTCAACTGTCGAGTGAGAGAGAGGTTTTCTGTGAGAGCACCTGCTGCCTGTTTTATGCTGCTATGTGCCTCAGAAAAAGTCTGTAATGTCTCATATAGATAGAAGCACTTGTAATTCCCTCTTCATACCTAATGTAGCAGAATTACTTGATGTTGAATTATTTTGGTTTTTTGAGTGTAGCTTGTCTTGAATAAAAAATGGAATAAATGTAGAAATAATCTAAATCAGTAAAGAATAGATATATAGATCTATTAGATATAAGCACATGTAAACGTGTTTAGTATATCAAGTAATGTAATGTGTTCTGTTTAAATTCTAAACAGAGAATCTTGTGGAGCCTTTTCTAGAAGAAAAAAAACTTTGTTTTTCAAGGGTCAAACAACCCGGGACAACCTCCACACATATAAATACCACAGAAAATGGGTTTGGGGCCCACAAAATCCAGAAAACCACGAATAATCCAGAAAGACAGGTGCACAGTTGTAAAATGACACGTTTTACCTCAGAAACTAACATTAATAGCAGCTGCATGTGGAGGAGCGGACATGCGAACCTGGTTCACCAGATTACGAGTCCACCGCTCTTAACCACTGCGCCACACTGGCTCTCCTTAATCTTAATTTAAGACAACAACCACGAAGAGCTCCTGAATAGACAACCAGCTATGTGATGTTGAATGCTCTCTGTTCTCTCCTACATCCCGTTTTTGTTTTCCAGTTTAAACCAATTCATGATCCCAGAACTCATACACTGACCATTAATGATGAACCATATGTTATAGCCATTCCTGCAATAAGCCAGAAAGACAGGTGCAGAGTTGTAAAGTGACACGTTTTACCTCAGAAACTGACATTAACATTTTGACCTCTTTGCCAGTGTACTCTTAATTATCCTCTCAGAAACAATTTTTAAAGGCAGATTGAAAAGTAGAAAGAAATTTTTAGGATGCATAGAGGAAGTTTTACACAGTGGAATAGGAGAATGAGAACAGTGTTATACAGATTTGAAGTGATACAATGTATTAAGGCAGATGTCTTACTGCCAGAGAAATTCTTCACAATTTAGAGAAAGTTTATAAATTTAGAAGATGTCATCACAATTTTATAAGAAACTTTTTTGGTCTAAGACATGAAGAAAAGAAAGACTGCCAGAGTCATGTGACGGAATTGTAACTATCATTGAAAAGTTAAAACTGGCAGAATATTCTATGTCTGAAGAACAGAAAGGGAGCTATATTGTAGGATCTCCTGGGGGGGGGGGAATGTATGTATGGAATTTCGAAACTGATCTTATGATCCAACGGGGAGCTTTACCAAGAGGGTCCATGATCCCACGATTCTCCTCCTTGACTTCCTTATGCAGAGTTCATTGCTTCTACTGCCGTGTGATGGAGCAGTAAGTTTTTTGACATTGGTAGGGCATTCAGGCCACGGCACTGGTATTAGACATTTTGAGCTGCCAATACATCGTGGTGGCCGGGGAGCTGTGATGTATTCCTAGCACAAATTCCCTGCAGATGACAAAGGCGCAGGCAGGCAGGTGGTGGAGCCCAGAAAGGTGCTCACCTTCTCAATCTCCGCCTGCCTGTCTGCCTCCCCCCACCCCCAGGCTGAGCAAGCCCCAATACCTCTCTGGCTCCATCCCCCCATGTCCCCATCTCCCCTCCCCTGGAACTCACCAGATCTCTCTGAGAGCCCTAGAGAGGAATGCTCAGAGGTTGTGAGGAGGGATGCAGGAGACAACCTGACCAGGTCAACCGTCCATCTTCCCCCTTCCATCCTCACTAGCTTTGCAGGATCCATCTCTTTCATCCTTCCTGAAGAGTCAAGGAGCCAAAACAACCTGGGAGAGAGGAAGAAGCAAAGGGAGCCTCAAAGGCCCTGCAGGGAAGAAGAAAAGAAGAAGATGAAGCGTTTGGATTTGATATCCCACTTTATCACTACCCGAAGGAGTCTCAAAGCGGCTAACATTCTCCTTTCCCTTCCTCCCCCACAACAAACACTCTGTGAGGTGAGTGGGGCTGAGATACTTCAGAGAAGTGTGACTAGCCCAAGGTCACCCAGCAGCTGCATGTGGTGGAGCAGAGACGCGAACCCGGTTCACCAGATTACAGGTCTACCGCTCTTAACCACTGCGTCGCACTGGCTCTCACTGGATTCTCCTGCCCCTGGAAAAGCACAAATGGGGCAGCCCCTTCCCAACAGAAACCCCATTTATAAACATTTCCAGTGGTTCTATGGTATCTATGGTACCATAAGGCAAAAGTTCATAAAATTTTTCATAGTCATAAAGAGCTGTTAACTGAAACTGACAACCAATTAAAATTAAAGGACTTTGAAGAAGTAAGAGAAAATGTAATAGACTGGTTACAATATTTACAACTAAATGAAACTTAAAAATCATGAAAAGAAAGGATTTAGTTATCAAATGTCAAGATTTCAGAAAGAAATAGTAGAAAGTAGTACAAAACTGCTGTCACAAATAAACGATCTGCTTTTGGAATGGGACACTAAAGAGGACCAGGTCAAATGCGTTATGATAAAATGGGCGAAGGATGTGGGACATAATAAATTAATGACGGACGGGGAAAGGCTTTGGAAGTTAGATTTGGAAGTTAGGCCACCGAGACCACATAACACCGGTTTTGAAAGACCTACACTGGCTCCCAGCATGTTTCCAAGCACAATTCAAAGTGTTGGTGCTGACTTTTAAAGCCCTAAATGGCCTCGGCCCAGTATACCTGAAGGAGCGTCTCCACCCCCCATCGTTCTGCCCAGACACTGAGGTCCGGTGTCCTTCTGGCAGTTCCCTCCCTGTGAGAAGCCAAGTTACAGGGAACCAGGCATAGGGCCTTCTCGGTAGTGGCTCCTGCCCTGTGGAATGCTCTCCCACCAGATGTCAAAGAGAGAAACAACTACCAGACTTTTCGAAGACATCTGAAGGCAGCCCTGTTTAGGGAAGCTTTTAATGTTTAATAGATTATTGTATTTTAATATTCTGTTGGAAGCCGCCCAGAGTGGATGGGGAAACCCAGCCAGATGGGCGGGATATAAATAATAAATTATTATTATTATTATTATTATTATTATTATTGGTTTTAAATTTTCTGGTGTTTTGATGGTATTTGTCCCCGGTTAAATTAGCAAAAATGTACTTCCTATGACCCTTGTGAGTGAAGTCATCGGGAATCTTGTAATCCCAACAGGATCGCCCTAGTACTTTACTAATAATAGTGGAAGTGATGCAGAGAGTGACTTTTCTGAATATTCCTTGTATACCAGTAGTATACAAGGTCTTTGTATACTACTTGGGGTCTTTACAACCCCAAGTAGCTGATTCCCCAAAGAATCTGCCCTGCAAGCAAAAGAAACCTCTGACAAGCACTTGAAGAAGCCCAACCTGGAAATAGAGCCCCATATGCTTCCCCATCTCAGAAGTCCCACCTGGCCCTGAGGCATCTGCTTGGCTCAAACAGCATTCAGGCTAAACCTCTACATCTTAAATGGTGCCCTTGAAAGTGACTATCCTCTCTGGCTCCAGAAGGAGAGATATAGACCAGGGGTCAGCAACCTTTCTCAGCCGTGGGCCGGTCCACCGTCCCTCAGAACATGTGGTGGGCCGGTCTATATTTTGAATAAAGAAATAAAAATTCCTATGCCCCACAAATAACCCAGAGATGCATTTTAAATACAGTGGTACCTCAGGTTACATACGCTTCAGCTTACAGACGCTTGAGGTTATAGATGCTTCAGGTTACAGACTCCGCTACCCCAGAAATAGTACCTCGGGTTAAGAACTTTGCTTCAGGATGAGAACAGAAATTGTGCTCCGGCGGCACAGCAGCAGTGGGAGGCCCCATTATTATTATTTAGCTAAAGTGGTCCTTCAGATTAAGAACAGTTTCAGTTTAAGAACGGACCTCCAGAACAAATTCAATACTTAACCCGAGGTACCATTGTATTCTACTCATGGAAAAACCACGCTGATTCCTGGTCCGTCCGCGGGCCGGATTTAGAAGGCGATTGGGCCGCATCCGGCCCCCGGGCCTTAGTTTGCCTCCCCCTGCTCCTGACAATGTACTCCATACCTGCCTGGTGTTTTTACATGAGCAGAATGTGTGCTTTTATTGAAAATGCATCTCTGGGTTATTTGTGGGGCATAGTTCCCGAGACCAGATATAGTTTGCTATATAGTTTGGTATACAAAGTACATCAGTATAAACGACCAAAGTGATTAAAGAACGAAAAAAGCTGAGCTACGTTAGAAAAGCGATCCAACCATAAGAGATCTGGCTCTAACCGCCCCGCTAAAAATGTAGCGGTTTCTGCTGTCTCCTTGATCTGCCAGGAGAAAAGACACAGTAGCGATGCCGAGCAAGAGGAAGAACACCCTTCCTCCTCCCCCTCCTCCTCCTCCTCCACTCTTGATCGAGACTCCAGGGCTCTCTCTGCAGGCTCCCCCCTCCAAGACCCCCTCCCCCCTCCCCCACGGGGCCAGCAAGAAGAGCGGGGCAGAGCCCGGCCCCCCCCCGCGCCCCCTCCCTGGCTTGGCTTTGGGGAATGTCTGGCCCCCCCATATGGCGCCCCCCAGGCATGATCTGGCCAGCCCCCCAGGCATCCTCCCCTGCAGCCCCTTCTCCCCCTTGCACCCGGAGGGAGAGGGAGGCGAGACTCACCCCCAGGCAGCTCTTGCAAGAGAGAGAGGGAGACGGAAGCAGCCCCTCCGCTTGCAGGCGGGAATGGCGAGGGAGGGGCTTTTGCTCGGGAGGACCTTGCCCCCCCCACGCCTCCACTTCCTGTCCTCTCTAGAAACCCAGCTCTGTGCCTTTTAACCCTTCGCAAGCCGAGCACAAGCGGAGCAAAGCAGGCAGGAGCCCAGGAGGAGCCGCTAACCCAGAAATATTACCTCCTGTTAAGAACTTTGCTTCAGGATGAGAACAGAAATGGCCTTGGATCCTGAGCCTATGTAGCAAATGCATAGTTTGGGGGTACTCTTGGATACGCCTTTGTCACTAGAGACCCACGTGTCCTCTATGGCTGTTTGTGAACAGGAATAGCCTGACCACTGGAGCACTGGAAAACTTGGAGTTGGACTGCTGCAATGCACTCTTTTTGGGGCTGCCCTTGGGTCTGGTGCAGAATCTCGTTGGTGCAACATGATGTGGCCAGATTGTTCTTGTGAGCTTTTGGTCAAGAACATGTGTGTTACGGTAAAATCTGGGTGCAGGGTTACTCTGCCACCCAGCTCGTCGGACCAAGTCCGCGGGTCCCTGCGGAAGAAAATGAGCTCAGCCGGAGACAGGAGCAAGTTCCAGGAGATCCGAATTTATTGCGCAACAGGTTCAAGGCGAGATTGAACAGCGAGAAAGGGGTGACATGAACTTTTGAAATTTCCCTCCATGTCCCAGAATACAGTGCAAAATACATCCCAGTTACATCATGAAGACATTAAGAAGAGGTTGGGTTACACAGATTACATCACGAATACATTAGGAAGAGGTTGGGTTACACCGGATTAACATATGGAGGAGGGAGGGGGGAATATGCAGAGCTGGAGATATGTGCAGGTAAGCACATCCTGAGAAGACAATGGTTCATGTATGCATAGTCTGTCACCTGGCATCGCCCGGAGGAAGGGCTTGGCAGAGTGATTTGACAGGATTAGGGTCTTGACACCTTGCTTGAGGGATTATGGAGGGCAGGGGAGGTGTCATGGAGTCCTAGAGAAATTGAGCAAATTGGCAAGTTGATTTTCTATGAATTTTATAGATTTTAGTCCTTTTTGACATTGGCAATTGGAAATAAATGGATATATTGTAGCGAAGAAGGTGAAGAAGAAGACATGCCCCCCCCCCTTCCGTATCATGTGGCACCACAGCCCCCCATTTGGAGGAACTATCCACTTAATACTATTTTCTGCTTCCTGAAACTTCCATTTCTGATCCACAAGAGGACCTCTTCTCTTATTCCATGGCTACTAAGCTTACTCAGGAGGCACCTTGATGAAAGTGTCAGGATGCGGTGTTTCTCCGCCACACAACATGACTCCAGCAGTTAATTTTGGTGGTCAGGTGGGATTGCTATGAGGAATTATGGAAAATGTAGCAAGCCATTGTGTCAGCAATGAACGCATTGCTTTGACTGGGCTTGAGCCATTTGACATGATTTCTGATCGAATCCCACAAGCCTCGGCACCTCTGCCATTTTCTCACTGCCTGACAGTCGTGTATAGCATTCTAAAACACAGACCAGTTGCTTCACCGGGCGTCCTCAGTACATAAAGACAGAAAGTAGCTTTGATGTAGATTTTGTTAATCTTTAGGTCGATCTTAAGGGCCAGGAAGAGAGTTCACAAGGAGATGGTAAATACTTTCTTTCTTTCCTATGGGTTTATGACCTCTGGGTTTCCTAAATGCATTCCTCCTTGGTTCCTGTTTATTTAGCTTAACCACGTATGCATGCTCAAGTAGGAAATAGTTTCTTTGTAGTTAAAAGGATTTCTCTGATCTGACTTTGTCCCACGTGGGGGATTTTTTGAAATGCTCAGAGGAAATCTGATTGGTTCTTACAATCAGTTCTTACAATTGGTTCTTACAATCAGACGGTTCACCGCCTCTATTGCATCTGCAGAAAAAGGCAGCAGGAGACTTTTTCAGGTGGTTCACAATTTAGCGGAACCACCTGCAACATCGGGGCCCAGTACGGGCCACATGTTCTCCTGCAATGATTTTGCAAAGTTTTTTGCAGATAAAATTGCTCAGATTCGGGAAGAAGTAGACTCCACCGTGGGAGCAGGGCCAGGGCGGGAGAGTGCTAGAGTTTTGTCTAGTCAAGTTGAGTGGGATCAATTCCAATCTGTTACCTCCGAGGATGTGGACAGGCTGCTTGGACGAGTGAAACCAACCACCTGTCTCCTAGATCCTTGCCCATCCTGGCTTATAAAAGCTAGCCGGGAAGGACTGGGTGATGGGCTTCGTGGGGTGGTGAATGCTTCCCTCCGTGAGGGAGCCTTCCCAGACCCGCTGAAAGAGGCGGTTATTAAACCGCTTCTTAAAAAACCATCTTTAGATGCAGCCACAATGGCCAACTATCGCCCAGTCTCAAATCTTCCATTCTTGGGCAAGGTGATTGAGCGAGCGGTTGCTGAACAACTCCAGGCACGCCTGGAAGAAGCGGACCATTTGGATCCCTTCCAGTCGGGATTCAGGCCT